CATGGTCTACGACCGCGGCTCAGCTGCCGACTACGATGCGTGGGAGGCTCTCGGCAACAAAGGATGGGGCTGGAAGGGAATGGAAGAGGCCTTCATCAAGGGTACCACTTTCCAACCTCCCACTCCCGATGTTGTCAAAGACTTCAACATCACTTGGGATGAGTCGACCTACGGTAACGGACCGTTGACCGTCTCAATCACATCCAACCAATATGAGGATATCAAGGACTACTGGGCGGCGTGGAAGGCCACTGGTATCTACATCCCAGAGGATGGAAACGCCGGCGAAGCCTACGGTCCTTCTTGGTACGCCAACACCATGGATGCGACCACTGGACGCCGCGCACACGCTCGCTACGCGTACTACGACCCCATCCAGACTCGTGCCAACCTCCACATCCTCACAGGCACCACCGCCGACAAGATCATCTTTGACAACAAGAAGAAGCCGCTCATGGCTACTGGTGTCGAGGTTACCGACAAGACTGGAAAGACTTCCACCTTCTACGCTAAGAAGGAGGTCGTCCTGGCTGCGGGCGCTATTCAGACACCTAAGCTCCTCCAGCTCAGTGGTATTGGCCCCAAGTCTGTCCTGAAGGCTGCCGGTATCGACGTCAAGGTTGAGCTCGATGCTGTAGGCTCCAACTTCCAGGACCACCCCTACGCCACCGTTGTCTTCAACACCACTTCCAACTACTTCCCCAACCAGAACTCGCTGATGACCAACGCGACATTCAACGCTTCCGCTTGGGAGCAGTACGTTGAGCACAAGACTGGTCCTTACACCTATGCCCGCGGTAACGCCCTGGCTTTCATCTCCCTTCCTGACATTACCAAGGACTTCAAGTCTCTCATCAGCAGCCTTAACAGCCAGACCGCCACCGACTACCTTCCTAGCATCTACAAGAACAGCAAGAAGCTCGCCAAGGGCTTTGCTAAGCAGCGTGCAGTCATTGCTGACATCTTCGGCCGCAAGGATGCCGCCGTGGCCGAGTTCCCCGTTCCCGCGGACGGCTCATACGGCCTTGTCGGTGTCGAGAAGCCCCTGTCGCGTGGTACCGTCTACATCGACGCAAAAAACCCCAACGGCCCTCCCAACGTCGTCTACAACGCCTTTGTCAACCCCATCGACCGTATGGTCATGGCCGCTGGTATGCGATTCTTCCGCACCGTGTGGGCCCGCCCCGAGCTCGCCAGCCACAAGATCTCCGAGACCGTCCCGGGTGCTCAATACACCTCCGACAAGGAGATTTACGATGCCCTGCTTGCCCAGTCGATGTTGTCCCCTACTCTCGCTCACCCATCTGGCTCTTGCCCGATGATGCCCGAGAAGGACGGTGGCTGTGTCAGCGACAAGTTGATGGTTTACGGCACACAACATTTGTCTATCATTGACGCTTCTATCATCCCTATCATCCCGTCTTGCCATCTCCAGGCCACCATGTACGGTATTGGTGAGAAGGCTGCTGAGATTATCAAGTCCAGGTAGAGCGTGGTGATGATTCAAACTCCATTCTTGTATATACTTAGTTACTTTAATGTATCTAGCGACTACATAAGCTTTGAGCGCATGCAGAAGTCGCATTATCCAAAATTACTTTGAGGACTACAATCCTCCGCTCACTCTCTTTTGATGCCACCAAACTCAGTGAATACCTCCAGGCCACGCTAAGGTCCTGATGCATGGGCTAGATGATACTAAAGGACTTAACGAGTTGATGTGCTTGAGTCGACGCGCGACTGTCTGCGAACAAGCTTCCGCTCGTTGAACGCGTAAGTGGGTCGGCCCCACTAGTGCCCCTCCATCCCACGGTTGCGTCACTACATTCCCAAAAGTTCAGGCTGCGCATAACTACGCGCGACAGCTACATTACCTCCGCCGCAATCACAACTTCCACTTTCAAATCTACGTATACGTCGGGCTACACTATAATGAAGCTACTCAAGAGCCAAATCGAACAGAAAACGGGCGCGGGGTTTGTCACCCTGCTGCCTGAGGAGCCAGAGGATATGGTACGCGCTCCACAGACAGATCGCCATAGATCACATGCATGCGAGTCCCTCTAGGCTTCAGTATACTGACATTCACAGTGGCACGCTTACAACCTGATCCAAGAACACGACCAAATACGCGCCAAGGCAGTTCGTCGAGTTTCGAAGACATCTGACGCCGGCTCAACGTCCTCGCAACGAATCGCTCTAGACCTCACGATCGCAGTAACCTCGACCGATTTCGATATTGGCTCCGGACAACTCCATGTGTCTGGGCGCGTAGCAAAAGAGAATGAGCACGTAAAGTTAGGGCAACATCACACATTAGATTTGGAGCTAAATCGCAAATTTACCATCGAAAAAGCCGACGGTTGGGATAGTGTCGCGTTGGAACAACTAAAAGAGGCATGCGACGCGTCGAAACGAGCGGAACTTTGGGCTGTTGTTTTGGGAGAGGGCACCGCGAACATATGCATGATCACCGAGCATCAGACGATACTACGACAAAAGATCGAGGTCTCCGTACCCAGAAAGAGGAGAGGTGGCGTAGACGGGCACAGCAAAGGCATGGACAAGTTCTTCTCAACGACGCTTTCGACGCTACTACGGCAAATCGACCTGCCGAATGCCTCCAGCACACCCCAAGGCAAGACGCTCCCGCTTCTCCTCGCCAGTCCAGGCTTCGTAGCGTCGGCGTTTTTACAGTACATCAAGGAGGAAGCGACACGGACCACCAACAAGCCGCTCATGGCCCTCATACCCACGATAATCATCGCGCATTCCTCATCGGCGCACGTACACTCACTTAATGAGGTGCTCTCGTCGCCGGCGATAACGAACAAGCTGTCCGACACGAAATTCGCGCGCGAAACGGCATTAATGGACAAGTTCAACACACTCATGCGACAAGACGACGGTCGGGCGTGGTACGGCCCGCGCGAGGTGGAGCGCGCCGTTGCTAAAGGCGCAGTTGGGCGCGGTGGTGGAGTGCTAATGATCAACAACGCCCTGTTCCGCGCGCAAGATGTAAAAGAGAGGAGACGATGGGTGAAGCTAGTCGACCAAGTGCGGGATGTAGAGGGTGGCGAAGTCAGGGTGCTCAGCTCATTACACGAGAGCGGGAAGCGGCTCGAGGGTCTCGGGAACGTTGCGGCCATTCTCACCTATCCACTCGAAGACCTGGATGAGGATGACGGGGACGACACGGGCGGCATTGACGGTGAAGACGGCGAAATGATAATATAGGCTGGAGGATACATGGACTGCCGGAGTTCGACTTGCACTCCGGATATTTCGCGAATACCTCCAGGCTCTATCAGGCTACGACGGCATAAATATACCCATCACGATTACGTCCGCATATTTCGGCTCTCTAGCAAGTGATGTTGATGGTCACAAGGCGGTAAGATTGACATGGCCCTTGCGCCAGCGCGTGAAACCAGGCCTTGCTCTACGCTGACCCAGCCCCCTCTAGCGCACCCTCTAGGCAAAAAGAGAGCCACCTTTTGCTGTCGTCGCCCTCTGCTACCACTGTGGTTCGAACAGGCCGAGTTTTGTTCGTTCCCAAGTCGCATAATTTGACAAAAAAAATGGTAGCTTCTCTTTGATTGAGCGTGTCATCCTTAGTGCAGGGGCCATGCTAATCTTCTCTGTATCGTTTCAAATTGACCAAATGCCCGAAGGCGAAGAAAAATCCATTTCATGATGCTATATAGTCACGCAACGCTGAAAAGTCGCGTTTGGGCGAGTTTGGACATGGGACGGTGAAGTGGCGGGAACTGGCTCGTGCGCGATTCGCAAAACGTGGAACGTGGACTCAGGGGTCTTTAGGCTGCGATCAGACACGTGCAGTGACGTCGTCTGGAACTTCACAATGTTGAAATGCATAGTATTGGTGGGATGCGACACTACAACACAGGAGCGGTTCTCGTAAGATTAGCGCCTATCAGATTGAAACAACAGCACCTCGAGAATACCTAGGTAGACTGCTCCCTTCATTCGCAGCACCCGTTGGAGGGGCGCGTGCACATCTGTTCACCAGACAACCCCGTTCGCGCGAGCCGGCCGGTGCCGTACTCGTCAAGCGGCTGATCAAGGCACTACCTAGGTATACCAGGATGCTATCACGACAGGCACATCAAGTTGGAATGTGCTGCTAATCGACATTGTCATATTCGTCTTGTCGTCCTGCTTTACTACAATGGAGGCGACCTACTCGGCGACACCACCAGGAGCAAGGATAAGCGACACGACTTGCCGGGGCTGCGATATTTTGACATACAACTCATCGTGGGCAAAGATGAAGGTATTAGTAAGATCATGAGCAAAGATAATATGCGAAACACTAAAGTCACAAAATAAGCAAGCTCGCTCTTACACTCAATGCTACTACTGTCGTACATTATACTGACTTTATTCACAGAGACGACGAAAAGCTTTTCAGCTTCACCATGAACTGCCTATCCATATAAGTTGTCAGTGTTTGCAGGCTCGTTGCGCGACACAAATAGAATTTATTTTCACGGCTATACTACGTGCAAAATGACACACCACCATATGCCACTGGCGGGCAGCCCATACCTGGGTAAGAGAGCGTTTGCAGGTGATAGAGCACGAGCACAACTACAGCAACCGAGCTAAACTCCACCACCGAAATCAAACTCCTCAACCCTGCTACTTTCTATCCACCGTCACTCTGATTTGCTTTCGCCGAGCGCAAGTAAAGTCTAGGTGACGAGTCGTCTCTTCTGCAGAGCCTGACGCACTCTCCTTCACTCCGACCCTAGCGCTGGGTCCGCTACCATCACCAAGTTGAACATCGAACGCGCCGTCCAACGCCTTTAACCGTCAAGAGCCTATTCGCCTGGCAATACAGCGACAACTACTACCGACAGCAGACTTTAAAGCTTGCACCATACATACCTAAGGAGCTCGCTACGCCGACAACATCAGCAAGTAAGCAAATACCGGTTTTCATTATTCATCCTACTGACACCGACATAGCCAACATGCCACCGATGTCGGCAACCCCAAGGAGCACGCGCCGTTCCGCTGCTGCCGCTAAGAAGAAGGTCGATACTCCCAAGGGTACAAGCTCTACCAAGCAAGCCAACAAGGTCAAGATTGCTCGGAACCGCAAGGACGACGGCAAGGAAGAAGTTCTCACTCCTGGAAAAGACCCAAAAGACTTCATTCAAGTGCACAAGTGCGAAGGCCTCGTCGGTTCCTACGCCATGTTCGGCCGCAGGGACGACTTTCGGAAGTTCGTCCTGTCCAGTCTAGTGCTGAACAGCTACGTTAATGCTTTCACCGACCGCGGAAACATCCAAGTGCGCCAAAAGAATGTCTTGGAATACATTCGTGATCAGAAGGTGGAGATGGAATCGGATGTAAGCCCTATAGAGGTCTACCCGGTGCAGATGGACGGGCGTTACGCTGTTCAACGAACCGCTCTCGCATGCGCACAGATGTACAGACAGGTTGAAAAGGCCGCTTCTGGGCAACGTCCGTTCGATCAAGATCAAGAGAACAGAGCCGTCAGCGCGTTCAAGGCCCTGACAGATAGGCAACTACCGGTTTTCGACCGGTCGGACGTAAGCGTGAAGAGCTTCGGCCCTCACCTCAAGTACGGAGAAAGCGACCTAGAGCCGTACAATCGCGCCTTCAACGTTATCATGTATCTGGCCTGGTGCTTGAGCCCCAAAGTATGGAAATCAAGGTTCGGAATCGAAAGTTGGGACGAAGAGGTCCATTTTGCTACACTCCACGTCCCGCACTGGATGAGGGAACAGGAAGCCACCAAAACGGCTGCTCAAGCTCCAGATCAAACCGCAAGTGCATCCGAGCCGTCCAGGCCAAACCCCGAGGTTCAGCCACGCTGGTTGCGGTTAACAGAGGCCAAGTCACCTAAGCAACAAAAGCTCATGGAGTACCTTACGGACCACGGGCTAGACTTGGATAGCATACCGGAACTAAGAATAACAGTCAGGCCGACAGCAACTGTGGCAGAAGTCCGCGACATCATCCGAGCGAGGTTCCTCATGGACCAGGACCAGGCATAGATGTTGACACTGCGAGTGGAGACCGCGAAAACAAACGTCATGAGGGGAAAGTGGCGCGATGTCCAGACAGAGCTCTGGTTTGGAAGCGAGGCAAAACCGGTTTTCGAGATGACCCTGTATAAGAGAGAAGACGACGGAATCTCGTAGGAGAACTACTTCTCTTAGTCCATTGCATTGCTCTTATATCATCATCCTTCCAGTTTGCGTCGCCTTCTTCCCAAAGAATTTCTTTTGCGTATGATCGTGTTAACAGTTCGTTCCGTATAATAACGTCAAACGTGGGTGTTGAAATCCATAATCTCGTGGAACCCCAGCTTGTGATCATCCCATCCAGCCAGCCAATCTCGGTTGTGTACCGAACGCGAAAACCGAAAAGTCGCATCATCAACGTCGTCGACAAAGTGTCTTCTGCGTTGCCACGGGCAGGGGAAGTCGAGAAGAAGGGGGACGTTACCATGATCGACGCTGTCTGATACATCCTCGTAGAGGTTACTAATAAGGGAGAACATTATTAGGTGTGGCAGCAACAACAACTTTTGTACCTATTAGAGTCTTAGCTTACGAGCCTATGTAGTCTGTTATAGTCTATGTGTGCTTGCTTTGTAACACAAATAATAAGCCTGTATACTTTAAAGCCTACTATACTACTTTTTTAGTAACTGTCACCCTAGTTAAGATACTCCCGGCATACGTAACGCACGTAGACTGAGACTCCCCGGCTATCATGTAGGCGGTACGTCCAGCATCATTTCAACCTTTCACGATCATCTCTTATGCTCAACTGTGTCGGATTAATGATGACATCTACCATCTCCTATGTTTCATTGCATCGCTACCATAGCTTCATCCTCACAACTTCTATTTCTCATCTCCAATCTTGAAGACATACTTGACTCCACTGGCCTTGCCATCTCTCAAATTCTTCATGCCCGTCTCTACTCCCTCTAAGCCACCAGGAACAACCTCATGCGGATGCGGCTTGAACCAGCCCTCAGCCAGTCCCCTCGCCATATACCTGAACATGATGAACGCGTAATCCGAATCTTCCTTGTGCGCTGAGCCCACCATCGTCTGGGTCTGCTGCACAGTCTCTGGAATACCTTCATATGTCTTACCCGGCAGAACAAGCGTGAGCTTGCCCGTGGGCTCTAGCACCTGCACAATGTTTGTGTAGGAGTTGTGTTCAGAAACGGCGTCATACGCGTATTGCAGTTTCTGTCCCTTGAGCGCATCTTTGATGCCCTTGACGACCGCGTCATCACCATTTCGGTAATCGACAATCGTGTCACCCTTTGAGCGGTCGATAAGCCCCTCGACGAACTTCTCTCCTTTTCCTGCTACAGCGATGATGGGGTGGATGTTTGCGCGCGATGCTAGTTTAATCGCGTATGCACCGACTGCACTCGCACCACCGTACACAACAAGCGGCGTGGGTTCCTGCGCCGGAGTCCACGGGTCAGGCAGGCCCATGCGTTGGTGCAATCCGATGGCTGCTGTCATGGCGGCGAGAGGCAGGGTCGCTGCTTGCTCGAAGGACACAGAAGATGGGATGTGGAAGGTTGTGTGGGCCCAGCCTACTGCGTACTCGGCGAAGGAACCACCCGGTGTCATCATCTCGTGGAAGGAAGCGACGCGGTCTCCGGGCTTGAACTCGTAGACGTTGGCACCGACGCTGTGGACGTAGCCGGCGATGTCGTCGCCGGTGTTGAAGTTAGGCTTCATGTCGTAGGCGGGGATTTTCCTGGAGGATATGTTAACGGAGGATCGATTGGTAGGAGAGATATTGGAATGAGAGTGAGGTCACGTGAATACTGTATCGCGCAAGTGCTTAGGTATAACGGGGACTGGGAAGTAGACATACCAGTCTTTGGGGTTACTGCCCGAATAGACGACCTTGATGATGACTTGGTTGGCTTGCGGCTCGGGTACGGCGACATCCTTGATAGTGACCGAAAGGTCTTTTGCTACTTGTGCTTCCTTCATTGTGATACGTCTTTCTTTAACAAGTCCTCTTTAAAATGCGTAGATGAATTAAGAGAGATAGAGGGTATAATGTGCCGTTGATTTGTGTAGGTAAATATACCAGCCAGAAACGAGGCGGGGCTCCCAAGCATCTTTATATCCAAACAATGTGATCCTGAACATTCCACCGTCAGTCGTCCGACATCACAAACGCGAATATGTGGAGCTGGCATTAATAATGACGAATGTGGGGTTTAGTGTGTTGGGTGGAGTAGATCTAGCCCTGGAGGTTGCTGGCGACGTCGATGATGCGACTTTTCGGTATTCGCTTTTGGTGCACAGCCGAGATTGGCCGGATGGGATGATCGGAAGCTGAGCACCTGGGGTTACTCCGATATCATTAATCACAGACTGGCAACCCTTCTTGCATCTACTCTACGCACGTAACGTATTGTACTATGCCCTGGCATGGAACAAACTGCGCAGGTGAACAGTGAAGAAGACACACATTAAATCTTAAACTCGCTCGACGCCCGGGAATCGACCTGAAACCTAGGATCGAGCAAGTTATCTGTCTTGTAGCCAACAACTCTATAGCTTCCCCTGTATCTTGTTCCCCAACACCTCCTCCCTCCTCCGTACATCCACGTCCCGTGGCCCTTCCTTCTTGAACTTCGTTGTAACAACCCATTCCCTGAGTCCCGCTCTCCCCTGTCCTTGGCTTTCAACCTCTTTCCCCGGCCGATCAAGCACCAAGACAGCAGTGTTCTTATCCACGCCGCCAACCCCATCCTGCCCAGCCTGCCCGTACTCTCCTTTTCCCAGAGCAAGTGGAGATATGCAAGCTTCAGCAAAAGACACTTCAGGCTTCCCGTCGTACATGCGCGGCTTTTGTAGAAAGTCAAGACATTTCTCGCGCTCGAGTTGTAGCTCCGCCAGGCTAGGTGTAGGCGAAGAGGGTGATGTGACACTTGATGCTAAGTACGGAGCCAGCAGCAAGGTAAGCAAGAACTGTGGTGGGAATAGGATAATCCTGTTTTGCCGCGCCAGGTCAATCCATTTGTTGGGCGGCAGGAAACGGGCAGCGGTGTGCTCAATACCCCCATCGTGTGTAGGTTTGGGTATGACAATCTCGTCCTCCTCTTCCAGTCCCGAAGACGGTGGTGTACCCTTGGGCGCGGCGTGCTTCGTCGGCGATACGGAGCCAAGGGGCAGGAAATAGATGTACATCTGCGTAGTAAAGCGTTTGGGCACGTTGGGAGGCGTTACCCAGCGGGTAAACGGAATCAGAGCTTCGGTATCAGGAAGTGCACCCCATTTCTCCAACAAGTCTCCAAACTTGACCTTTCCACCGTGTACATCTCTTCGGCCTTGTTCTCGTTCTTCGTCGCTTATCTCGGTGAACAACTTCCCAGTCTTTTTGCTCTTGGCGAGTAAGATGCCGCATTCCTCGAAAGTCTCCCGTACGGCTGCCATACGATACGCGGGCCCGTCTTGATGCCTTCCCGGGTTGACTTCGTCGGGAATCTCGCCGTCGTGCGTTTTGGAGAGGGCGCCGCCCGGGAAGACATGGGCAGATGCAAAACTCGAGGCTTTCGATACGCGGTGGAGGAGCAGGACCTGGTTCGTAGGGGAGATGAGCAGGACGCTATACGTGTTAGCATTCCGATATCGAGAGACATCGTGATAATCGCATACCTCGAGCTAGGCCGTGGAACCTGGGGTGCCTTTGACGCCTGCTTCGACGGCTTGTGATCTGCGGGCGAAGACATGTTGCGCTTTTGGAAGCCGGTCTTGGAGAGTTGAGCAGGCTTCGGATAGGAATCAGTTCGTAGTGACGCTGACGATCGCGCACCGAGCTTCGCCTGAAATATCGAGAACGATGAGCTTGCGGCGACAGGGCGTGCAGAGCGATAGGAGCGTACCGCAGTCGATCTACCTTTAGCCAGGAGGAGAGCAGTGGAACTCAGCTTTGGCATATCCGGCGACAAAAGGAGCCGACAATGGCGGTCGGCGCGTCATAATGGCTTGCATGTGGTTGGTGTTGATGCGCGGGGAGCTGCCGAGGTTAGGAAGTAGCTTGAGCAGTGACAGGGTGCCCAAGAGTCGACACGCCAGAAGTTCGGCAGCGCTTCGCGTCACCCAACAGAAGACATTTTCTTGAGTTTGATCGTAAATGAACATAGTTCGTGGTATCATTGCTTTTGGCCTATCCATTGCTCCAAAATAAGAACATAAATCGTCTTCGTGTCGCATGTCTAATGAGGGAACCTAGCAACCCAGCCAACCACCCACTAACGCCCTCCCAATGCATTCCATTTATCATCTTCGATCGTCTATGAGTAGAGCTTCTTGTCGAAGCTGTGCAGACCGTGCACGTTGCCCTCAGCCTGTGCACTGGCAGTGCGCAACTCGAACCTGACGGTGCCGTTGGCAACACCCTCGTGAAGCTCGGTAAGGCTCTTGATGCCAATATCCTGGAGCGAGTGCTGAACACCAGCCATGAGGTAGGGCACGAACTTGGTGATCGAGCCACGGTCCTGGACGGATCCAGACACACCTTGGGCAACCAGAACACGGTCACCCTCAGAGAAGTAGCGCGCGGTACCAGCGTTGCTGGCCTTGGAGTCGGCAGCGCCAGCACCGGCCTTCTTGTCCTCCATGGCGGCGATACTGCCCATACCACGGTAGGCCTTGACGAGCTGACCATCGCGGCTGACAAAGTACTCACCAGGAGACTCAGTGGTACCGGCGAGGAGACCTCCCATCATGACGGCTGATGCACCCATGGCAAGACCCTTGACGATGTGTCCTACGTTCTGGATACCGCCATCTGCGATGCAAGGCACGCCGAAGCGCGATGCGAAAGAGGTGACATTGTACACCGAAGTGGCCTGTGGCCTTCCGACAGCCATGACTTCTTGTGTAATGCAAGCACTTCCGCTGCCCATGCCGATACGGAGACCGTCAACACCAGCGGCGATGAGACCAGCAGCCTGCTCGCGAGTGACGACGTTTCCGCCAATCACGTCGAGTTG